AGCACATGAGAGCACGCGTTGCTGCTGGCAATAAGGAAACCTCACTTTCGTCCCTCGACTCCTTCCAGCTTCTAACACGACGTCCTTTCGTGGCTGTAGCAAGCAGGGAACAGATTATTCCGCTCGCTCCCCTCGTTTTGAGGTGCACCGGGTGCTGGTCCATGGTGCATCACCCCCAAAGCGCCGAGATCGTGCAGTTTTAATCCCGTTTCTCATCCCAACCGCGAGGTGTTTCCCGCAGCTGGCGAGTTCTGCGGCACCAACCGCAGAGATCAGCCCCCGAGCAAGCGAGAAGCACGGCGCCGAGGAAAAATCACCTGCAACAACAGACACCTGAGAGCCTCGAGGAAACGTCGCTCTCGAGATCCAAACGGAGCCAGTTGCTCCTCGGGGCTGGGTTGGGGGGGTGGTTCACAGCAGCAGGGCTGCAGTCCACGGAAAACATCTGCGTTTTGAGAGGAGTCCCCCCCCCTTCCCCAGGCAGGAGAGGCGCGTCGCTGAGAGCCAGGGTGGCTCAGGGTGCTCCCGCCGCGATTTCCTCCGCGCCGCTGAAGGAGCGGAAGGCTTTGTGCAGGGCCGTGCAGCAAAACAGATCCGAGTGAGCTGCTGCCGTCGCTGCGAGAGACGCAGGAGCCTCCGCTGGCAGGAAAAGCAGCCGGGTCAGCGAGGAAAGGAAAATTCATATTGCCAGCATAAAACTACCCGCTTCTCATTCTTCCCTTGTCCCCAGAGAGTTTTTCAATCTCCCCCACCGTGCGTTTTTTTTCTTCACGTAACCCTTCGCCCTCCTTCCTAACCCTCCACATCCTCCAGCTGCCCCAAGGGATTTGAACGGCCGCAGAGAGCGCGAGCGCCTTAAGAAACACCCGCTGCCGAGGGGCGAGGACAGCAACGGGGGAGCCTCAGCTATCTAGCTGCTCTCTTAGCTCAGAAGACACGGAAATTCGTGAGCAAAGGCAGAACTTCACCTATAGAGGGATGGCTACTGCAAGGAAAGGAGAGGGGGAACTGCTGATACAGCCCACGACGACTCCTCCACCCCAACTGCTCGCAGAAACAGGCCCCAGGCCGTGACTGATGGCAATTATTAGTCTCGGCTTTCTCTGTTCAGAGCTCCATCTAGCTGCACGTTGCTCCAGCCAGCCGTGAGCGGGACACACGGGGAGACAGACAGGCAAATGATTCCTCAGCCCAGTTTGAAATTTGTAGTAACCGGTCAGAAAATAGCACAGATCCAAGATTAAGCCGCCCAAGATGCTCAGTGTCGGGGCCGGGCTTTGCCGTACCGGGAGGTGGGAGCATTGCTGATACAGAGGAGGGGGAGCAGGTGGTGTCAGGGAAAGACTTTTCAGGCAGAGATCTTTGTTAGGAGTACTTAGATCTTGGGTACAAGTATTTCACAGTATCCCTGACCCTTTCTAAGGAGTCCTAAACCTCATTCCTGCCTTTCTTCTCGCTGCAGCACGTGCCAGCACATCTAAAAGCGCAGCAGGGGCAGTTAGGGCCTGGCTGCACAATGCGAGACGTTCCAGCACCGGGCCTCAATTAGTCATTTATCTGACTGCGTTGAGAGCGAGCAATTCCTGATGCTGAAAAGATCCTGTCTTATTTGCCTACAACTAGCTCCCGCCCTACAGAAAAGGGACAGGGCTGAGCGCCAGGTTTTCAAGGATGGGAAATGAGTCCAAGGCCGTAAGTTGGCTGGAACAAACCATCCCTGCAACCGAGACTGAGAGTGTCGGAGTTTCTGGCTGCACCTGCTCGCCAGGCTCTCCCACGTGTGCAGGGTGAACCAGCACGGGTTGGGCTCTATCCGTGAGACCTGTAAAAAACAGCATCCTGATCCTGCTGGGACCGTACCAGAGCCTGCAGTCTGGGTAATCACAAACTGGGAACGAGCAGCCTGCCCATCTGAAGTGATCCACGCTGGAGCTCACACCTTTCCTTCCTCAGCCCCATCGTATTTCCCTCCCTCCAGCTACCCCATCTTGCCAGTATTGCACGAGACCCGTGCTCTTGTGCTAGGGCTGAGTTACAACCGCTTCGAGACCCAGCACTGACTGCACACAACCCCTTCTATGATGTTTTCTCCCTCTGAATTATGACAGCTTGCTCCCTTTTGTCCCCGAACTCAACTAGAAGGAAACCCCATCCATCTGCAGAACCACAGTATGGCCTGCTCACCCCACACCGACCCCCCGCATCATCCGCTTACGTGTGCAGGAAACGACGACTTTAGTGGGGATGCTGCAACAGAGATCTCCGTAAAACAGCCTCACGTTGAATGGAAAGGTCTTGCTTTTACTCGACACGTTGTAATTGAAGACCAGCAAGTTACACAAGGAGTTCCTCTGCAAGGTTCCTTCTATCTGGTCTGAAAAGTGTTCCTGGAGGGACGAAGGCAACTTCTGAAACACGAAGCTAGGAAGGGAGCCCGTCAGCGCAGGGCTGGGAGCTCGCCAAGTGCAGTGCCCCCACCCTCCACACCAGCCTGACACGTACATCGAGCAACCCACGCGTGGGAAAGACTTAAATAAACCAGTGCTCATGCCTTAAGCCACATCCTCCAGCAGCTTTTTACCACGTCACAGCTATTTCAGCTCAGGGACCTCTGTAGTTTGGCAGTACATTTTAAATGAGCCACCAGACAACATCCAAGTACGCGCCAATTGACGAAATGGGCGACTGAGTTTATAGTCACGCGATAATTTTAAATAAAAGCTGTAAAAACCAGAACCGTGAGCGCTCCACACAAAGAAAACTGTCAGGATTCCCCCGCGCACTTTAGAGACTCGTAACACTTGGTACATCAAAGGGAAAAGGACGGGTGAACAGCATTGCTGTGGCCACTGGTACCTGTAACTGGTCTGCCTGGTACCTCCTCCCAGCGTAAGCGTTCAGGTGGTCGGACAGGACGGACAGGAAGCGCCTGATGTCCGTCTGCAAGTACTTCTTGGCGATCTGCTCCAGGGGGATGAAGGTGGGGACGGAGTGGTGATGAATCTGCACTTTCGGCTGGGTGAGCAGGTGCAGGTAGTAAGAATCCAAGTACGTGCCCTCGTAAGCAGTGCTGATGCAGAAACACACTCCCCGCCTGGTCGGCTTCCCACTGATCCCTTGGGTCCAGACAGAGAGAGAGTGAATCCGTAAAATTGGTCAAAACAACCCTCTGAGATTTAATTTGAAGTTTTAGAAGGCAGGCGTTCGTTACTGCAGTGCTGCAACGCAGACTCGCGTCTCAGAAGCGTGCGCACCAAACATCTCATCAAGCAAGGTTCATATTATCCTGTTACATACGTATATATTTTATTTCCTGGAACTCATAATTATAATATCCGCATGCTAATTACGCATGCGCTTGCAGTCCCCTCTGGGGTCTTCTTCAGGGGTCACTGGTGGTCTTCAGGGGCATCCCGGGCACGCACAGTATGCCCTTACTCATCTACTTATTCCATAATCTGCGGTTTCTTGAACGCAAGTTCCTTTTTCTGATCACAAGTTCCTTTATTAAGCTTATTTTTACACCTTTCTGTCTCAAAGCAGTGTCTATAATGCCTTAGTTTGCTGAGACAACGCCTGTAATATTTTGGTGTGCTTAGGCAATTGTTAAAACTCTCTAAATTCTTAAGTTTAGAGTTTTTACTTTGGTAGAATGTATCAAGGGAAAGGGTTTACTCAGCACTAACTTGTCACCACAGGGCAGCTTTGCTGGGGCAACACCGGCTACAAGAGGGGCTGCGTCCTCTTACGAGGCTAGCTCAGGGAGCTCCCTAGGAGGATCAAAGATTTGCAAGAATTTAGGGACAGAAGAGACAGCAACTTTTAAATAAGGGACCTCTAATGTATTCAAGCAGCTTAACGGTAGGTTAAATTCCCAATAACTGAGTTACGCTGCTAATTTGAAACGCGGTCCCGGCTCCAGCATGAGGAGGAGAACAGGGAGGAAGGCAGCACTTCACTGCCCCCAAGTTGAGCAGCAGGAGTGCTCGTGGCCAGGCTTGTGTCAACCAGGACTCACATCCTCGGACTGCCCAGAAAGTGGACACAGCAAAGGTGACTCTTGTTGGAAACCAACATTTTTTTAAAAAGCTCAGGAGTAGATGAAAAGAGGGTTGCTGACCTCACAAGCTTGCTTGGAAGACCCAGACCACTGGATATTTAACTGCCCAATTATTGAAGATTTCATTTCTAAGGTAGTGACACATTTTCCAGAATCTAGACCATAGTCTAAATGATACAGTTCATGAAATAATAGTTCCTGCAACATCCCAGAGGCCTCCTGTGAAAGGCAGGGAATGATAAGGTTACTGCTCTTCCAGCATTTTCAGGCTCTGACGGCTCCAAGCACAACAGCAGCACTGTTAACAGGGAAGTTACACTTCACATCAGGCTCATTTTCCAGAATTTACCCGCCCCGAAATGCAGCCCATTGGCAGAACACACACAAATCCCAAGACGTTACCTGTGAGGTAAAAGACCTGCAACATGGCCTTAACGCTTTTTATCTTCCACTCTAAAACAGCCTGAGCACTGGGCTGCGCTGGATGCGACACAACTCCTTTTTTCTCAAGTTGCTAGAAAAGCCAGAAAAGGGAGGTCAGAAATTGCTGACACAAATCTGTCACCTGCAGTCAGGATACAGAGAAATAATAACTTGGCTCTGAGAAAAGCGAGATGGCATTTCAAGCAGAAGAGGGGAGAAAAACTCAAGAAAAGATTCAGAAACAGCCACACAACTTCCAAGCAAGTTCTCTGGACTACATGGTACTGAAATCGGGGGATGCCAGGACTGTAAGTCACTTAAAAAGAGAAAATAAAAAAGTAATAGTTGGCTCCATAGGAATAGTCTCAGTAAATCTACCCTCTGAGAGCAGGAACACACCAGAGCCCTCTGCAGCAATCTCTCTCTCACCCTGTTTTGCTGCAGATCCACTTTAGCCCGCAGCTCATCCCTCTGGAGTTTCAGCTCCTGCACTCTTGCTTTCAGCTTGGCCAGCTTCTCTGCTTCCTCCTGTTTCAAGGCTGCCTCACGAGCTCGCATCTCCAGCACTTCCAGATGAGCAAACACCCCTGCGAGGAAAACCGTGACACGCTCAAAAATCCAGGCTGTGATTATTAGTGGTCTGCACCGAGGTACCCAAAACAAAGCGGGTCCAGTGCAGGTACACAAAGAAACCCCTTACAACAGCTTTTCAAAGAGGCAGAGGACAAGCAAACATCTGGCAAAGAGGCTTTGGGGAATTTTAAACAGCGAAGCTGAGTGCCAATGTACCAGGGTGCCCCACACCAGCTAGCCAAGCTCCTGAAAAGCTGAGTAAGCTAGCAAAGGCACCAGTCCTGACCCCGAGAGACCTGCAACTCCCAGTTTTATTTCTAGCCCAGCACACAGAGTAGCAAAGTGATTTCTCTGAAGCCCCTATACCCTAAATTGGCTGAGTGTGACTCAAGGCACAACTCAGCAAGCCAGGGGGTCGCTTCTGGCCCCAAACGTTTTAAGGTTTGCTCCTGCTCGCTTTGCACTTGGATAAAAAGCGCACCCAGCACCCCAGAGAGCTCACCATCTGGTGAATACACGTTCCCTTCATCCATCTTCCCGCGCCGCTCTCCTGCGAGCGAGGGGGCAGGCGTCAGCTCTCCTCGGCCAGGCTCCATCCCTTGGGAAGCGGCAACACGGGGGGAGGAAAGAGCTTTTCCTCAGGGGAACCTTCCTCTTCCTCCTGCAATGGGACTCCGAGAGGCGCCGAGGTCAGGCCTAGCACCCGGGCTGGCCCCACGCGGGGACAACCCCACGGGCCGAGGGCTTGTCAAGACGCGTTATAACCCACCCTTTTTCTGTAAGGCAAGATTTCACAGCGGCACCACAAAGAAAATACCACAAACACACCCACCCACCCACCCGGGGGCGGGGGGGAAGGGGGGGGGCGGGGGAGGTGCTGGGGTCTCCCCACACAAAGAGGGCGCGACTCCCGGGGTCACCGCCGAGAGGGACAGGGACAAGGGGGGAGGAGGGTGGCCGCCCCAGAAGAGGGGACCCAACCGCCCCAGAAGAGGGGACCCAACCGCCCCAGAAGAGGGGACCCAACCGCCCCAGCTCCCCCAAGGCTCCCGCCCTCACCTCAGCAACCGGCGCTTAAACCGCCCGCCTCCCCGCCGCCACAGCGACGTCACCTCCCCTGACGCCATCTCCCGCCCCTTCGCCGTACAACAAAATGGCGGCGGCGCTGCCCTGCTGGCCCGCCGCCGCGCGGAGCCGCCATCTCCCGGCAGGCTTGCGCGGCGGCCGTACGGCAAGATGGCGGCGTCCGGCGCGGTAACGGTAACGGCAGCGGCGGCGGCGCTGGTGCAGTACGTGGTGCTGCGGGGGGACCTGTTCCGGCCGCCGCGGTCGTGGCCGCTGGGCGCGGTGGTGGCACAGGGCTGCCACGCCGCCGTGGCAGCGGCCCACGCGTTCCGCCAGCACCCCGACACCCGCGCCTACCTGGATCAGGGCGGCGCCATGCGTACCGTCGTCTTGGAGGTGCGCGGGGGCGGCCGGGAGCCGCGGGGCAGGCCGGGAGCACCGCGCTCAGGGGAGGGCGGCGGCCATTTTGGGGCAGAGCCCTGAGGGGGCGATGAGGGGCGCTGGTGGGTTTGAGGAGGCGGCTGGGTCACCCCGGGTCCCATCCGGGTTTGGCGGGTAGCGGGGGGGTTAGGCTGTGATTCGTTTCTTCCCGGTCCCCGGAGCCCTTCCCCGCCCGGGGTGTGTTTGAACCGCGGCCTGGATTCCTCATGAGGAGGCCCCGTAACCGCCCAGCGCGGGCGGCCGCTTCGTGAAGGGGCGGGGAACGGCGGGGGGTCAGCCCCTGTGTGGACGCGGGGTTGGGGAAAGAGCTGTTTGCCTTAGCGCCATGAGCCGGACAAGGTGTGCAGGGGAAATCCTGCAGTTTTGAAGGTTGTTGGCTCCTGCCCGCGGTGCTTGCAGAGGCCGGTGGTGCAGCCTGCGAGAACAAAACGCCTTTTGGTTAAGAGGCAAAACACAGGGATCGCTCGTCCTGTGTGCAGGCAGGTGGCTGCCCTCAGTGTGAGCCATCCTGCTTTGCCTCTCCTCCTCCGCCTCCAGCGGGTACCCAGCACTGCCTCGCACCCCGGCCCTCACAGCAGATTTTATTTCTCCGCAGGCTCCGGATGAAGCTGCCCTGACGGAACTGGCAGAGACCCTGAAGCGACACAACATCGACCACGAAGTGTGGACCGAGCAGCCCGAGAACGTGGCCACCTGCCTGGCGCTCCGGCCCTACCCGAAGGACCAAGTGCACCAGCACCTGAAGAAATTTAAATTGCTGAAGTGACCCGGCACAAACAGCTCCTCCGGGCTCGGAGTCCAGCTCACCCCCCGGGAGGAAAGCTGCCGTGTTTTGGGGAGCGCTTGTGCGGGTGCTCAGCAGCAGGGAGCCTTCTCCCCGTGTGGTGATGCGAAACGGCTCCGCGGCGGGAAGAATTAAAACGTCACTCTGTGCAAAACGTGACTCCCGTGTTGTATTAACCCGCTGCCCGCCTGCGGTGGGCTGGTGGCTCATCCCCCCCCGCCAGCACGGGCGAACTTGAAAAATGGCTCTGCTGCTTTTGAGGGGGAAGCATTAGCATTCCCTTTGAGCTTCCCCGGCTGTCTGTCTGTCCGTCCAGCCTGACTTTTCCTTGTGCCTGAGCTCCGCTACCGGGGCTTGGCCGCAGGGACGGCATCTCCACTCCTCCCCCACGGATTTGGTGACGGTTCGGCTGCCAGTGCAGCCGCGCTCCCGGCAACTCCGGAGCCACTCCGGATCGTTTATTATTTCCTCCCGCACCAGCCAGATCGGTTTGTCCGTGTTTTTACTCGCCTCGCACCGTGAAACCCTGCCAGGAGCGGCGCGAACAGCAGACGGCAGCATCGGCCGGCGAGCAGGCGCTCGCTGCAGACCTCGTCCTGCCACCTCCTTCACAGGAAAAATGTTTGAAATGAACCACTTGGTTTCCAAAAAAAAAAAAAAAAAAAATGCGTTGTCAGCTAGACGCGCGTCTGCCCCACCTCTCCCCGTCCTGGTCGTGCTGTTAATTCCACCGTCACCCCCCTGCTCCCCTCCCCATAATTTCCCCTTTTCCAGAGCTGAAGCTTGAACCTGAGGCGGGAGCCAACCCACTCGCAGCCCCCCACCGCGGTGTCGGGGAGTCCTCACCCCCAAAACCCCCTGCTGCGGGCGGGGGGGGGGGGGGGGCAGCTCCGGCAGGAAATTCAGCTTTCGTTTTATTTTCTCTACAAGCGCTTTGGGATTTAAGAGGCCGTTTTGGCCGCCGAGCTCGGGGCGCCGGCGGATTGCCAGCTCCCCAGAGGGAGCGACGTTGGGGTTCCCGGGGTGACCCCCGGCTTCCTCCTGCCCCCTCCATCCCCGTTGGCCCAGAAACAACGGAACGTGAGCTGGCAACTCCGGTTCTGATTTTTTTGCTTTGTTTTGTTTTTTTTCATCTTTAACTCTTACAATTGTCAATCAACAAAGCCACACTTTTCACTTTTTTTTTTTTTTTTTTTTTTTTCCCACACACCAGTGTAATTTTTTGAGAAGGCGGGGGGGGAAAAAAAAAAAAAATCCCCCATAGCTACCCTCTCCACCCCACCCCGAAAAAGCCAGCAGTGAATATTAAAAGCGACCCCCCCAACTAAAAGAGAAGAAAACAAAATTTATACAGAGCTCAGAGCTATTTACAGTGACAGGCTTGAGGGGAAAAAAAAATAAGCTATTTCCCAACAGAGAATTCAATTATTATTATTATTTTATTATTATTATTTTAAATAGTTTAAGCTACCTCAGCTGTTAAACACAATCAAAGCAGAAAGAACTGACTGCTTAATTTTATTTAATATTTAATCAGAAAATTTTATCTACAATAATTGACAGACCCCTCCCCCCATCCTTCCCCCTAAAAATTATTGCAGTTTTTTCCCCAAACTGTTCTTTTTTTAGTCTTTTTTGTTTGTTTGTTTTTTCCTCCTCCTGTTGTAATATACACATTGTAGCCCCCCTCCCTGTTTCACTCGGAGGCCTGAAACCAGCATAAAACATGGAAAAAATGGTGGGTCAAAATACTCTGTTGTTTTGGTGTTTTTTTTTTTTTTTCTTTTTTTTCTTTTTTTTCTTTAAAACCGACAAACTCACGATTGCTAGAAAAAGCTGATTGTACGCACAAGCGGGCTGGGGCAGAGGGGAGAGAAGGGGTTTTGTTTAAGCGTGAATAAAAAACCGGCTTTTCCCGCAGAAGTCCAGTGCCGATCCCCTTCCGTGCCCCGCGCCGAGACGTGATCAGTGACAGATCCAGCTGAAACTGAGATTGCTCTTCCTCCTCCTCCTCCTCCTCCTCCTCCTGCCGCCGCCGCAGCCCTCCAGCTGCCTTCTCCCCCTCCCCGCCTCCCCGAGAAACCTTCCTCCAGATTAAGAAGCCAGCGAAATGATTACAAAAATAAGAATCATCTGTAATTTTGGCTCGAGAAACCGACTGTCCTGCCTCGTCGCTTTGCCAACATCCAATGCTTTTTTTTTTTTTTTTTTTAAAAAAAAAAGGGGAGAAAATGAGGGGAAAAAATAAAAAAGGGAAAAAAAAAAAATCCAAAGGGGATTAAAAAAAGGGGGGGGAAAGGAGAGAAAGGAGAGAAAAGGGAAAAAAAAATAAGGAGGAAAAGGGAAAGAAAAAGGGAAGGGGGAATGAAAAGGAAGGGGGGAAAAAGAGGGGGGAGAAAAGTGAGAAAAAAAGGAGGGAAAGGGAAAGAAAAGGGGAAAGAAAAGGAAGAAAGGGGGGGAAAAGTGGGGGGAAAAAGAGGGAAAGGGGAAAGAAGAGGGAGGAAAATGGGAAAAAAGGGGGGGAGAAAAAAGGAAAAAAGAGGAGAAAAGGGAAAAAACGGGGGGAAGGGGAAAAGAAAAAAAGAGCAAAATAAGGAGAAAATTAAAAAAAGGGGGAAAGGAAAAAAAAAAGGCTGAATAAAAGGGGCAAAAAGAGAAAAACGGAGGGAAAAAAGGGAAAAAATCCACCCCCTCCAATAAAACAACAACCCCCCCCCTCCCCTTTTGCTCCAAACACTACGAGCTGAAGAATGGCTGCGGGTTGAGATATCAAAAATCTCAGAAAAATATATAATATATATATTTATATATCTCTGTACGTCGTCTTATTTAAATTTCACATTCCTCGAAAAGCGGTTATTCAGTCAGTAGCTGCTGAAGGAGGCTCTTCTGCTGGCCCGGCGGCGGCGGCGGCCCGGCGGCGTTTTTCGGGGTGCCCAAGGGAGCCGGCGGGTTGAGGTAGGGGTCTCCTACCAGATTCACTGTACACTGTACGTCGGCAAAGACCTGAACCTGTTGTACCTGCTGGGACACAAGAGAGAAAAAGGGATTTAGCGGGGCCGGGGCAGGGGCCGGCGGCGGCGGAGCTGGGAACTACGTGAAGTGGAAACTCACTAGAGACTTCCTCTAGTCTGGAGCCACCCCAGAGAAGAACTCTTCGGTCTTCTTGTCCTATAAAAAGATAAACCGCTGCAACTCATTCGGCTCGGCGAGGTTCGGACCGTTGCTCATCCCCCGAAAAAAAAAAAATAATAATAATAAAAAAAAAAAAATTTGGATTTCTGGAGCGAAAGGCGGAGGATAAAAAAGCCAGCCTGGGTGAAGGCGGGGGGGGGGTGTTGGGGGGGCCGTGCCGGCGGTTGTGGGGTGGCGTTTGGTGACGAGGTCCAGGCGCGGCTGTTTGATCAAAATTAAAGAGTTTTTTTTTTTTTTGGCGTGTCTCGGCGGAGGGGCTCTGCGGAACCAAGGCTGCGCTCCGGGGAAGAGGCAGGGAGGCGCTGGCGGCCGGTTAGGGGGGGTTGGGGGGGGGGGGGGGGGCTGGATGAGGTGAGGGGGGTGAAGAGGTTGGTTTTTTTTTTTTCTACCCCCCCCCACCCCACCCCCCCACCCACCCCTTCCCCAAGCCTCTGCCCTGGGAGCCGGAGGGCATCGGCGGGCGGCTCGGAGGGGCCGGGCAGCGCCCCCGCTTCCTCCCCCATCCGAATTTCCTCGCTCCACACCGGCCGGTGATGGCCCAGCCTAGGAAAGAAAACCCCCCCCCCCCCCCCCCCCCCCACCGCCGGGGGTGAGGGGCTTTTTAACACCAACACGCTCCTTGATTTTCCCAGCTCGGTCCGCCGGCCGGGAGGTCGAAAACGCTGGCGGCAGCGGCGTGAGGTTCGGCGAGGAGAGGGTTGGTGAGCGGTGGCCGGCGACCCCGAGGGGGCTGGCTTGTCACCCACCGCCGGCGGGACCACGGTGGCTTCAACCCGACCTTGCCAAGCGGAGCCAGCCCCGCTGGAAACCAAGCGTGCCGAGCCGGTACGGTTGGGGAACGTTCAGTTTTTTTTTTTTTTTTTTTTTTTTTTTTTTTTTTGGGGGGGTGGCGGGATGTGGGTAGAGGGAGGGAGGGAAAAAAAAAAACCCGTCAAACTCCTCGGGGTACCTGAGATGTGCTTAGCAGTTTCTTACTGACCTGCGCCCCATCTGCTTCTGTTTTCAAAAGGTCAGTGGAGGAAAGCTGGTTGCAGTAAAGGCCCGTGGGTCTCAGCGCCGGGTCATTTACCTGTCAAAAGCAAGATCCAGGCTCAGCCGGGGCTCCTGGACGCCGCAGGGGCACTCGCTGCCCTCTCGAGATGAGTTTTGAGGGGGGGTGTGTGTGTGTGTGTGTGTGTGTGGATTTGGGGAGGGGATGCTCGTGGATGGGGCGGCACCGGGGGGACTGTGCTGCCAGCATCCTCCCTGCACCGTGAGGCGCCGGGTTTTGGGGGCGGTGTGTGTGTGGGGGATCCCCTTTCACCTTTCTCCCCACCGCTGGTATTTTTTCCGGGGGGCCGCTGCCGGCTCTGGGGGCATCTCTACCCCCAAGGGAGCACGAAATGGCACCCAACTGCTCGGTGAGAGGTGGCTCACGGAGGGGACCAGCCTCCTTCCGCGCCGAGCACCATGGCTTCTCCCCGGGGGGAGGCTGCGAGCCCCAGCCCACGACATCCCACGCAAAACCAGCGAGCCAGAAGCTTAACGGTGCCGAGACAAACCCCAGCAGCTAAAAATGACGGAGGCATCTCCCTCTCTGGCCCGGGGAGGATCTCGCCAAAGGGCTGGCACTGCGGAAAGGCCCCGTATCCAACCGTTCCCGTTCCCCACCCCCAGTTTTCACAGCTCCCCGGGGATGCAGGGCTACAAACGGAGCCGGCCGCCAGCCTGCCACGAGGGCTGCAGGTGCTGGAGGTGTTTCGGCGCGTCCCAAGGACACACAGAACAGCCCAGGCCTTGGGCTCCAGCGCAGCAGCAATGCCAGCAGAGGCAGCCAGACCTTTGCCGCTTCCCCCCTTTGGACAGAGGTTCCCTCGGGGCTGGGGAAGCGAACGCTGAACCCCTGGGAGCTGGGTGACCCGTCCCGGGAGCGGGGACGAGGCGGGACTGACCTGCTCCGAGCACATGGAGTTCATCCCG